GAAGACAAAACTTCATGGGTTCAGGGGTCCGTTAAACAAAATAGGCATAGAGCACTCGTTGATAATTTTCTTGCAGGGGTTGTCTGCCTTTTTTAGTGTGCAACATAAAGTAACAGTTTCCATTTACTGTTATGGCTGAACATACCCGTTCGTAAGTGCATTCATTTATATGCTCATTGAATTAGGTAGTCGCGAAATACTTGTAGCAGCTAATCTCATTCCGCAAACGCCAAGCGATGAAAGTTGTCGGAGAATCTGAGTTCTAAAAAAGGCGGTCGATTGTTTTGGGTAAACGTGTGTAAACACACATTCTAACAAACATAAAGTACATACATGTGTGCATGTGTGCGACAATCGGTTTTATTAAAATCGCTGCAACACAACAACAATTGCGGAAAGCAAGTACAACCCAGAATAGTGGATCAGCGAAATATGTATAAAACCACTTGAGAACTTGCAAATTCACTTACATACAAGTATGTATTTACATAAATATGTATTTAAGTATATGCGCATACACACAATAAACTTATGACGCTGCGCTGTTTTTGCGCGTAATTGAATAAATTCTTTTGAAAATTGTCAATTAAATAAAAACCGTAGCGGTCGCCTGATGCCAGAAGCAGTCACAGTTATTGCGTATTCGTTAGCGGATCACGCACGCAGATACAGCATCGTCATAGCCGCACACGCAACTGTTGGGCACAAAAAAAAAAATCGAAGTTAACAAAAACGATTAAATAGTGAAAGTGTGAATAATTAAATAACAAAAACAAAAAAAAAGAAATTGCCAAAAACCAAAATAAACAATGAAAAATATTGTGTTTATTTTCGCAGCAGCGTTGCTGTGCTTCTGTGCCACCACTGCACGCGCCGATCTACTCGATTGCAATGAGAAAATCCTACCGTCTTTGTCAGATGTGCCTGTCATTGGACCAAAAGTGGCCAGCTCCGAGGACAGTGCTGAGCATCAAGTACGCGATTTCTTCAAAAACGTTGGCTGTCAAATAAAGAAAGGCGCTGCAAAGGTTTCCGAACAGGCCAAAAAGTTGGGCACCGAACTGAAGGAGGGCGCAAAGAAATTCGGTGATAAGGCGAAGGATCTAGGCTCTGATCTAAAGGATAAGTTTGGCGATTTCAAGGATAAATTTTCGAGCGACTCTGTAGAGGAGGAGCGCACATCGCATGGCCTATTGCGCAATGTGGAAATCATAAATCCAGATTTGCTGAAAGCTGAACAACAATGCGGCCATGGACACATTTTGGATGCATTGGGCAATTGCA